CCAACGCTTCGATAAAACCAAAAGAAAATATATTTTACCCACAACAAAGAAAACAATATCCGTAAAATTGTCCGTGTATTAATGTTTTAGCAGCTTCTGGCGGAAAAACGTCACACGTTGGGTGACTCGAAATTTGGCCGAGCGGAGGTCTGCGTCTGGTCACCGACAAAAAAAAAATAATAAACCCCGGGTAGACCTAGAACCGCGCTCGGCCCATGGCCGCGCGGTTAAAAAATGCTCAATTATCTAAGTTCTCTCTCAGACCCTCTCGCTTGAAAGTTCTTTTGTTACATCTCTGTAGATAAGTATTTCTCTTTTTGTTTGTTACCCCTGTGTGTGTCTGTCCATACAGTAAGCACTGCAGAGAAAGTTAAATGAGCACCAAAGGTGCAAGCTGCTAGGCTGTTCGGAGTAATGTCCACCTCTCCCCCATCTAGGAAATTTTTCTTTTAGGGACTCAGAAATACCATTTCCCACATTTTCTAGGGAACACTTTCATAATTCTACATGGAAAAAATGTTGAGTATTTCATAACTAATCGCAGAGGTCATGGGTTTCAATTTCATTCAAGCTATAGTTTTTTTAGGCTTTAATTTCACAGCTGCTTTAAGTTCTATACAAAACTGCAATGATCATTCATGTCTTAACAAGTTTACACTGCAATACATTCAACATGTCACCAATACCTCTCCTTCCTTGATAATCACATCCTTTGGTTTTCCTTTCTCGATAATCTTCAAGCACATATCACCTTTGACCATGTAGAAAAACTATCAAGACATTAAAATAATTAATGTTTACCAAGCTACATGTATATTACTATAAGGCAATTCACATAAAATGATTATTTCAGTATAATTCTTTGACTCAAAATGTCACTTATTTGAAAGTATATATTATGTAATTGCCATAGGATTTGTTAAATTCATTTATTCTGAACATTTCACATGCTAATCAAATTAAAATACATAAAACAAGGTTTTCCTGTTTGGCAAAATGTTTGGCAAAATACATAGTTTAAGGCCACACTCATCTTTTACAAGCAACAGTCAACTCAACTGCACCTTCTCACTATTTGCTGGGGAATAGGGTTTTCCTCTGATTAACTCTAGTAATATTAAACCTTATTAGCCTTCTAGGCTTTAGAGCAGTTTTCAATTCAGTGTCTTAAAAATCACTCTTGACTAACAAATCCCATTCAATGACACAGACAACCAAAGAAAACACAAAGTAAAATTTACATGCAGCTGATTCAAAGTGCAGGAAAGCCTTTGCTAACTAGTCATCATCGGTCCTGGTTTACTTCTGATTGGATGAAAAGTGCCGCAAGTTTTTCAAGCCAATCTTGTAGAGCAAGGATGCAAAACCTATTACTTTTTGACACTTAAATGAAAACCACTCTATCTAGTGATGATTTTGATCTGACACCATCCAAATGAAATGTGTTAACACTGTTAAATTACAATAGTCTAGGCATGAAAAACAGCTCAATGCAAATTGTGGTATTGATTCAGTGCTTTCTTTCAAGCATATGATATGAACAGTATGTTACATTTTCTGTTAAAATTGAGTTCCATGTTTTGTTGTCAATTATACACTATTACTTATATTTATGGATTTACCTCCTCTCCTTCATCTATGTGGTAGTCTTTTCTGACATTTGGTCCACCAACAAACATCACCTTCAGCTGTCCTGCCCCATACCTTTAAAGAAACTTATACAATCAAACCTGTATTAAGTGGACCCCATATTAAGTGGACACTCTCAGTCAAGCAGACAGCAGAGGAAGTCCCATTTTTCTTTTCCCACATTCATTGTAAAAAATACCTGTATTCAACGGACACCTCTATTGAGCAGACGCGGACACCTTAAACTTGACTTTTATGGTCATTTCTTAATTATTAGAAACCTTATCAAACGGACACTGCAAAAAGAATGCATGATTTTTTTGTCCACGTTTTAGTAGCTTGGTCATTTAAGTCTGTCAACAAACTGAGCTATCACAGAAATGCACTATTTTGTTATTTGTTTTTACAGAACTTTTGTTCTGGTCTGATTTAGCAAACATTCACATGATTCAATCAATATAGATACTGTTACTGTATGCTTAAATCGCTTTGACCCATATACTTGTCATTGTTTATGGAAATACGGTATTTCAAAGTTCTTGACCATTCACGAGAATGCTATTTGACCCTTTCAAGGTCTTTTGATACTGATGAATATTAATATGACCCTTTTAAGATGAATTCTGAGGGAACCTGTTTTCAACAGACACCCTGTATTAAGCAGACACTAGCACAGGTCCTGAGGGTGTCCGCCTAATACAGGTTTGACTGTAATATTAAACAACAGCCTCGAAAAATTTCTAAAGTTGAGAATTAACTATTGCATGACGTCAAAGATTCAACAATTATATTCCATTTACTCGAAGATGCACAACTCGGAGAAATTTAAGCTGCTGCTCGTGTTTATTTTGTATCAAGATGTTTTATCATAATTACCCATACCTTTAAAGAAACTTAAAATATTAAACAACAGCCTTGAGAAATTTCTAAAGTTGAGAATTTAGTATTGTATGACGTCAAAGATTCAACAATTATACTCCATTTCCTCGAAGAAGCATAACTCGGAGAAAATTAAACTGTTGCACATGTTTATTTGTGTCAAGATGTTTTACCAAAATTATCCATTTCAGCTCACTCAACAAAATAGCATACAGAGCACAGCAAAACAATCAGCTTACTTAGATGAGAGATTTCTGATTTGAAAATACTCAGACTGGATAATAAATCTTTCACTGCTTGGTTTTGTATGCATGACCTGTTAAAAGAGGGTCGTACAGGGGTATTCTCGTAGCCTACAGTGCAGGCGTATTTTGGACAGGCCAGTGCACATTTTCGTATTAAACTGCCAACTGCCCCACCCCCACCCCACCTCTGCACCAATCCTCTACCAGTCAAGCATCCAATTACAATCCAAGATGACAGTATTGAAAAACTGATTTATTTAGCATTCCGCTACAAAATAATGCCTGCACTGCAGGTCAGTATTCTCATGATGCGCGATTAGCTGATTCAGTATTTTCAGTGTTCAAAATGTGAATTTAAGAAATTTATTATTCTTCGAGATCCGTGACAAGGTCTTGCGTGACCTGTCAAGATCTTGAAAAACTAACTGATATTCATGATTTCACTACACGATTCTATGTGATTTTGAAACAAAAGTCCTCTGCAAGATTAATCAAGACTGAAAACATCAAATGCGACCTGTCACTTTTCAAGACGATTTCCAATGCTGCATTGCATTGCACATTCCAGAATCGCTTAGGATACAAATTACCAAAATAATATTTATTTTAGAGTTCGATCATGTCCATTTTAATAGTATAGAGGTGTCCACTGAAATAGGAGTTCACTATCAAGGCAAATATAACACGCTAATTTTAGGGCAAGAAAAAAAATTTGAAATCCAGTTGTCCAGTGGGTCAGTGCATTTCAGTTTTCAGTTGCCCCCACTAAAATATCACTTGCCCAGTTACAATAGGTATGCGATGGTCATGCTTTGTCCATTTGCATCATTTACCAGGCATTGTTTATATTCAAGTATGCTTGAATTTTAAATTAATCCATGCTTTCAACTCATTGCTTTGCTCATCTGGAAGTCTTAAGTTTTGACATTGTTTTTGACTGGAAATTATCACTAACAATATATTACGGCTAATTTCACTTGCCCACCGGACCACCAAACTTCTATTTTCACTAGCCCAAGACCGGGCAGTAAGACCTGGGTTTTCTCCTGCCCTGAATTTCATCAACAGACTTAAGTGTCTGCTTAATAAAGAGGATCCTCTTAATTTAGGGTCCACTCAATGGCGGTTTCTCACTGTACACTAGTTATGATTATATTTGTAGAGGCAGTGCCACAAAAACCAGTCTTCCTTTTTACTGACAGCAGTAATATTTGATGGCTTGGCTTTATAATCCCAAACAATCGAATTGCAATTGACTGAACTCTTGAAAGTCCAATACCCGCTGATTGACCGGATGTGCAAGATCATTCTAATTAGCAATGATATTGTGCTATTATTTTAGAAATGGCACCATAATACCTTCTTACTGGCTGGAATGTAGGTAATATTGTACCCCAAATTTGTAATATTGCACCATAATTAATCCACTAGCTTCTATTCGCTATAAGTTCCATAAGACAAAAGCTTGTTAAAAGGATAATATATGCAGGCATATTTGGAAAACAAATTTTTCCACGTTCTGAGTGTGCTTCCTAGTCTTAACGCCAGTTTGTTGTACTTTTGAGAAACAGAGCTAGATTTCAGAGTGATTATTCGACCTACTGAAATAAAACAAAAACATTCTCTACATGAGAAACACTTTGGAGAAATAAAAATTAAGCGTGGAAAATAGCTGCTCGTGATTTTACTCTGACTCTGATACTCACATCAGCTTGTTACAAACTGGCGGGAGAAATGAACTTTTGTTTTCCTCGATCCACTTCACCATGTTGAGCGGATCTCCCAGTTGAGGATTGATTTTCTTAGTCACTGCTTCTTCACCGCCTTCTTCTCCCGTTCTCTTGGACATGGTGACAAAGAATCGAGACTCACAAAAAGTGAAATCCCTGGACGGCCTGGAGGATGACCTGACACTGAGTTGGGCAGATGGAGCGAGCGAGGCGATTCGGAGAGACGACTGGTGCGAACTAACTCCAGGCTTGCGGGGGCCGTAATCGGAGATGGTGACCGGGGGAGGGGTAAAGTAGTTTGTCCAAGCTGACACGAACTGAAATGTCATGGAATTTTTCTCAGATGGAGAAAGGAACTAAAAATAATGAATTTGTAAGGAAAATAAGGGAAATATTAATCTCAGATCAAAAATGATGAGTTTTATTGTTTGTCAAAGTTGAGAGCTTCTGGGAAAAACTACCAACAAAATTTCTACTCTCCACCCCCCAAATTTTCCAAAAAAAGCCAGGCTACCAAGTCATTATTTATTGATGCCCTTTCAAGCGTCTTTTTATTGAAACACATTTTGCTTGGTCATTGCAGATTACAAACGTACAAACCTCCTCCTCAATTTTCCGTGAAGTCGATTTCGGTGATTTATTGCCATTTACTGGAAGATCGTCATGGCTGCTCCAGCAAGTGTGACCAAAATGTACGTGGAACAGCTACGCACAGAAGCCAACATGGAGAGGGTACCGGTATCGACGACGGCAGCTGCCCTTTGCAAGTATGTCGAACAGAACCTACAGCAAGACCCGCTCGTTACTGGAGTTTCCAGCTCGGTGAATCCGTACAAAGAGAAATCTTCGTGTCTTATATTTTAGCCTGGAGGAAGTTTCGTTGGCTTGGATGCTTTTCAATAAGTAGCAGTTTCTATTTGACTCTTGGCTCATGATCAAATATGGTGGCGAGATGGTTGTTATATTTTTCTGTATGTGTACTCTATTCACTCTGGACCTCAGCTTTCTTATGGATGATTAAGTGATGTTCGAACCTCTGATCTGTTATGATTCGAAACGTTTTCTTTGGTAATGTGTATTTTATTGCGAGTCACATCTACGTTTGCAACCGGATGAAACTGCTGTATTTAACTTCTTGTCAACAAAAGCCATTGGTTAGCAACGGAGAACCGTTTTCACTTTATTTATTTATTACTGGAAGGCCTACTGTGGTGCCACTTTTGAGATTTATGCAGATGATGTCAATTTGTACAACTGGTATAAAAGGATGTCTCCCAAGCCAACATTCTGTGAAATGTAGATCAAATAGATAAGCTCAAAAATAAATATGTTAATATATGCTTTATATATGCTTTATATCCTTAACCTCTTGAAGTGTAACCAGCTGAACAGCCTTGCTAGCATTGTTTTCACTTTGTCTGTGCTTACGGGTAGGGGGGAGGTGTGGTTTGGTGAAAAGTGGGAGTGAAATAATCATCTTGAGTTCATAGGTGGTTATTAAAGTTGCATTCAATAGTGTCATAATTTGTGGCATTTAGTTCAGTTTTAGTGTTTTATCGAAAATCTGGAATATATCTTGTTGCAGTTTACTGTCAGTGAAGTCTTGTTTTGCTTTGCATTAACAAGGGGGGAAATTTATTTTTGATTTTATCCAAAATTTATATATATTAAAAAGTTTCCAGCAAACTGCAATTTTTTAAGAGAGAGTCAATGTTTGCTCTTAGTGTACAAAATTTTCACAGTTTACTTGCGAGGACATTTTGACAGAAACTATGCCATGCAGCCCCTTTTGATTCTTCCACTTTGTCTTTGCTTTGATGCTATTAGAGCTGTCTTGTGAGAAAGATATTCAAAGGTAAGTTTGATTGCCAGTGCTACCACACCATAATTTACATTCTGCAACCCATCCAGGGGTGACCGAAGGAGGCTTTCTACCTTACCAAGCAAGATGGCATGATCTACAGGATTCCCTGGGAATGTGGCAAAGTTTACCTTGGTGAAACTGGGGTAGAAAGGATCATGGAGCAATCAGTCAAGAAAAGCTAAACCTTGTTATTTCACATGCCTGTACTAACTCTAAGACCTCCAGCATTTCAGTACATACTCACAAGTTCGACCTCTATCCACTTTGGAATGAGGTGAGGTTTATTGATCAAGACCCTCATTGGTACACAATTTGGGTGAAGAGGTCTATCCACTCTTTTAAAAGACCTAACCCTAACAGAGTGGTTTTCACTTGAGTGTCTAAAAGTAATTGGTTTTGCATTTTACTATGGCACAATTTTGGCTGAAAAAACTTGCACCACTTTTTCATTCAATCAGAAGTAAACCACAACCAATATTATTGTAACTTGGTTGCACGTTTCTTTTGGGGTCAACTGCATATATTGACTTCAAGTTTTGATTGGTTTGTTAGATTGTTTATGTCCTTTGTGATTGGCTAGAGTGTTTACTTTGGTTTTGGTTTTACGACACTCAATTGAAAAATGCTCTTACATCACCGAGATAGTGGAATCAAAATTCCCAAATTGTGGATACCCATGGTTACAAAAAATCAACAGCTGGAGAATGGCACAACAGTGGACCGCTGAGGAAATAATTTCATGACAGAACAATGAAGGATCAAAAGACACAAATCACAGCCGACCTCCATGATATGAATGGTACCATGCAATCTGTATCAGACGACCTCATTGCCAATGCCTCAAGAAGATAAGCAGTAAGCAAGTAACTACATAGAGGGACAAATGATGAAAGCTTTCTTGACAAATTATCATTATTGTAACAGTAGATTAATGTCGATTTTTCCCAAATACCCTCTTATTATGGTATGAAACTATTGAATTGATTGGTAGAACGGCATGAATATTCCAGGTTGAAAACGTTTACTAAAATGGCCAAAACAGACATTTTCGTCTTCATTTGTGGCCCCAAAATCGGGCTCGCGGCCGATGATTTCCGAAATGGCCGGAAATAATCGTATTTTCTCGTGTTGTTTACTGCTCATGCTCGGTAAGAACCTCACCCACTTCTCACCTTGCGAGTTGAATATCAGATTGTCAAGGTTTGAGCGGAGGCTTTGGGTTGAATTGAGAGCGAAAGATCAGAGAGGATTGAAACGTTCGTAAGGCGTCAAGCAAGTTCTGGTGATATTATCTTGCAGCAATGTCGTATGCTACTACAACGGAGACCCTCAGACTTCAAAGAGTGACTGTGGAGCAACTAAGAACAGAACTGAAGGTAAATCGCATCAAGGTGTCTGAGGCAGCAAACGAACTGAAAACCTACGTGGAGAAAATCCAGCGAGAAGACCCGCTCGTTACAGGAGTTCCTGGCAACCAAAACCCGTTTAAAGAGAGAAGTTCTTGTACTTTATTCTAGACAAGCGGTGCACACAAAGTCTTTGTGTATGAAATTGGAATGCAAGATCAAGAGACTATGGGTATCACTCGCGATCGCTTTGTTTTGCTTTTAATATTATTCGCTGTAACTTTTTCTTTGGAGTTTTCCGGCTTACACCGCGGTGGTTGTGCCATTCTTGGAACTAATCACACACGATTTTCTTTGTCCTGATGAAAGAGATCCGCTTTGACTTGAAACTCGCTTCAACTGGAAATGGGCAAGTGAGCAAGGAATATGGCGGCCCGTGGTCTTTTTGTCTTGCGATCGCTATTTCAAAGTTGGAACATTTGAGGGATTCTCGCCCAAAGAGGTAAAACATTTTCTTTCTACGTCATTTTCTGCGAAAGCGAAATGAAAACACGAACCGCGAGTGAATATATCGAAAAGGTCTATTACAAATTTCTTTCTTTATTTTTGCCACGATCTAACGATCGAAGCGTTATTATGTACATGGAAATGTATCTTGTCAATGTAGCTGCAAACGAGTAAGCTCAATTATTGTAAATCTCTGTAAATCTGCGTGTAAACTCCGTATGGAGTACGGAGTTCGGCTGCATAATACCATTGTATTTGACTGATTTCATTGTATATTAAAGGCATTATCTTATTGTTGTTTGCTGTGTTTTGTTCTGTGATCGGGTGAGTTTTACTCGCGTAGTAACGAGCATTGATTTTTGTGGATTCCCTACAATTGTCGCCGAGGGTGTGACGGGTTGGGATGTGAATTTTCCTATGTCGGGTGTTTAAAAATACCTAAATGGTGTTTTAAAGATTTGTGTGCTCAGCTCAACTGCTTGGCAGTTTAATAAAAGCAGGGCTAATTGGATTGCAGTAGCATATTGTTTGTATTTCTTCTCCCACTCAAATGAAATGCTTGCAAGGACTTTCAGGAAAAAATGTTTTTCGTAGGATTCAAAGATTTAGCGGGTAATAATTTTGAGGGTTTTCAGTCTTCCAGTTCAAATGTCGGGAAAACTCCAGAGATTTAGAGGAGGTGCAGGGCCACAGCCAGAACAAATTATGACTGAGGCAACGTTCATAGTTTAATTCTCTTGTTTATGAGACTAAAATCAACAAAATCGGAAAGACAAAAATGACATCTGTGGCACATGCCTGAAATGGTTGCTCCCAGGGCTCTCAATTTCCGACTGCTGGTCAAGGGGAACGAGATTGAACTTGTCCCCTTAAGATAACATGCTCACTGAATAGAGCACAGCTATGATTCAGGTGGAATCATTTTATCCATAATGAAAAAAAAAATGAAAAAACAGAAGGGACCACTCCTGGGAAAGGGGGGTTCTCCCTTATAGGGCTATATAGGTACGTGCAGGGTATGGTTTTTCAGCTGTTTTGGTCATAAATAGGGTATTGATTTTGGCCATTTTGGTCATAAAATTACAAGAGCATGGTTTTTGCACTCTAGTCTTGCATTGGGTGTATTTTGTGAAGAAGCTACTTTTTCGTCATTATCGATAAGACCATCAGCAAGAGCCCTTCACAATGCCTTTTACATCAGTCTGAACTAGGTAACTATAAGGCAGTCTGAAACAGGGTATTGATTTAAGGGTCTGGTCATAAATGGGGTATCAAATTTTTGGTCAGGTCATAAATAGCGTTGAGAAAGTCACAGATTTTGGTCATAAATAGGGCAAGGGTTTTGGGGAAGTGGGCTGCACACCCCCACCCAATTTTCCTGGGAGTACACCCCCCCCCCTAACTGTTGGACCACTTATCTGCCAATTCCACAGAATTTTCACAAAACATAAGACCCATAAAATAAGTGCATATTGTGGGTAGTGGCTGCTTCCTCTAAGCAGATGACTTGGAAGTACTTGGAACAAGTTATGCAGTGCATTATCTTATAAAAGATGATTATCAGCTGCACGTTTATGTTATTTCAAGTTGGGGGGGGGGGTGGCATAAAGCTCTATTACCGGTACCTTCATTTAGGTTCATTTGAGTGGCACGAAGTCATACTCACTTGAGGAAACTATGAAATCTTTCCTGTCCAATCAGAAGGCCCCACTGAAAATTCAGAGACAAGGGGTACTTACCATTTACATGGGAAAACCGGAAATTCCAGTTGGAAAATCAAATGGTTTGCGCCATTCCATTTGGGAAGCTTCAGAAAATATGGGCTGTGGTTTGAGGTGATCCTATTTTTCTGCTCTTTTAAGTCTCTCTAACTGATGTGGATATACTTTATAGCGATTCCCTCTCCCACAACGTGACATTCAACTGTTTAATGTTTATACCTGAAATTTCCAACCAGATGGTTTTTGTAAATGGTAAGCACCCAAGAGCTCACGCCAAGGGGCCTGGGAAAGACAGCTGAAATACAACATGGCTGCTAATGAAACGGAAGAAGTCGATGTAGCAAAAGAATTTAACCTTCTTCCAGTGATATTTGAAACAATTCAGGCACTACAGAAAATCAACGACCCCCAGGAATTTACAAAAAAGGTAGTACTTTAGTTTTTTGTTATCTCTTTGGGAGAAAACGTCAGTAAATCGCTTCGTACTTTTCTCAACACGATGCGAGCGAGAAGCTTATCAACAGTTATTAAGCTTAATAAAAGTTTTTTTAAGACTTTTGTTTGAACTAATTGTCGATAGCTGTATCGCGTTTTGTTTTCCAGTGAAAAGGAATTTGTAAAGAAAAATTTAACCCTTTCATTCAGTCTTTTGTTAAACTTTTAGGTCAATAGTTTTCGCTCAAAGTTACAGCACTGCAGAACGTTGTTAGACAAGATTCCAGGAATAGAAATGAGCTGCGAGGAACAAAAAGAAATGTTGAGCAAGTGTCAAGCTCAGTACACCGAGAAATGGTGAGTCGTCTTGGAAAGAAGAGTGTTCCTCTTAGCATTTAAGAGAAGTTAGAAAAAAGCCTCCCTTTGTATGCTCAATTCTTTCATCTTCGACAGACAAGTTAAACTGCGATCAGGTGTTCTTTATTTTCGGCGAAGGGACAAAAAGAACGCCTGAGCGCAGGTTACGGACAAGAGAGATCTGAAAAATTCTAGTTTTATTCAGTATTAACATGTACAGCAAATGTTTATGACTGTTCAGTACTTGCACCTAAAGGTAAAAAAAAAACAACCACAACAACCTATCAGTCACTTCATAAGATCTCTGTCAAGCTTTGTAATCAGTACAAAATATTTTGGTTTTGAGACTCTCAAAGGAAATGCAGACAAGCCTGCAGGGAATCATGATACTTTTATTTTCAAAACAAATTTAGGACTTGGCAACATTGAAGTCATGTAACTTCTATAGAAGCCATTAAGCATGTGAAAGAAGAGAGAACTTTACTTATTAAGGCTCTATACAGAGTACAGTTGAACCCCTATTAAGAGGCTGCTTATTGAACAGCCACCCCTGCATCTGAGAATTGGGAGAGGGGGTATTCCATAGAGTGGAATTCTGCGGGAATCAGGGGTAGAACAGTCTGTTCGGACTTTTGAAAGCAACTGGGGTTGGGCATTTTGGAATTTACAAAGCCAATGGAGGTTAGGTGAAAATGCCACCTGTGGTAGGGTATGGATATTTCCTGGAATCACCCATTGCCTTGGATGTTTGGCTTACCATTTTATCAACTCAAGTCTGTGGTTAGTACCTCCTAAATTAATGCTATTTGATGTTTCCGGTGTATATTTCAAGAACAAAAATGGTTTTCGGTGTAGAAATGTAAAGGGAAAGCATTGAATAATATTATAGCAATATATCACAACATTGCACATCCTAACTGTAAATCATTTGGAGTAACTGGATGTCCTGGAAGGGGGGGGGGAGGTTAATGACCAAAATGGTGTTTCTCCCAGCAGAGGCAGGGAAATATTTCACGGTCAAATTAAAATACCTTGTTCAACCAAATGAGTTTTTGGTTTTGAAAATGTATTTTCATTTTTTTTCAGTGAACTTTTAAGAAATTACAGAAATCTGCCTGTGTTTACAGAAGCTTTCCTAAAGGAGACAAAGTCGTAGGGCCAGATGGTTTTTTATTAAAAAGGTAGCAAGCTGAGAAGATGTCGGCTAAAGAAAACAAGAGATCAACACAACTCCATCAAAGATAGTCTTGATTATATTTGGATAAGAAGAAGGTTATGACTCCTAGGTGCTATTGTTGGGAATTAATAGATGGAGATGAGTCATACATTAGATTGAACTTGTGAACAAAGCATCGAGTTCAAATTGGGATGGAAGGAAACTGCATCACTCACTACCTTGTTACGAGTCAGTATTCATTTTGGAAGGATCTATGAAAATACTCATACAATATTTAGTTGTTGTCATTGTTAATATTAGTTGTAGTATAAAAGTGAAGAAATGTATGATTACATGAAAATTTAATAGTGTGAGTGTTTTAGTAACCCAAAGCACTTGCATGTACATATGCAAATGAAACATTTAATACATAAAATGTTAAGTAAAAGGCTTTCATGAAAATTTTGGATGGTGTATATTGAAGGCTCATATTAAGTTTCAGTGCTTAAATTGTAACCTCACTTGAGCTCTTAGACTACGAGTAGTCCCTCTTTCGCTTAGTCCGTCGTGCGAGACGCAAAAGAAAACCGCGAGAAAAAAATGGCCGCGTGAAATCCTGGAGGCAAGGAGCACACGAAAGGAGGGACTACCGCCTAACTAGCCCAAGAGTTTGAATTATGCGTTGCTCTCACAACGCAAAAATATGATTGGCTTGTGTTAGAAGCGTTGACAACGTGTTGTCAACATTCGAGATACCTGTGATGTCTTACAGGAATGTTTTGGAACAGGAGCAAATCGAAGCGTTGGAATCACGCTTCGCAAGCCGTGATGTTCTTGCAAATCTGCCAGCAGGCGTTTTGGAAAGATTCAAATTTATCCAATGTTTTGTTTGGCAAAGCTTTCTGCCTCCACCCCGACTGCGAGCGTGTTAGTGATTTCGCCGCTCAACAGCATTGTCTAAGTCAGCGAATATAAATTCACTGAGCTTGGCCTTTCTGCCGTCCATTTGAAAGATTGAACCGGACTCTCACTTGACACCTGAAATTTTCCGCTGCTATCGGCAAACATTTCACCGCAGTTGGATGATCTCCTATGTATAATGTATAATGTATAATGTATAATGTAAATTCTCGGGTGAAACTCTGTTGAAATTTTCGCAATAACTTTTAGACGCAGCGAAAATCGTTACAAGAGGCCTCATTCGCCGTCTTCTTTTTAAAACTTTTTTGACAGTCGGTTTTGCTGAACGAACACTGAACGAAGATATACTTCTCATGGCATATGTTTTTGCCTGGCTACTTGAAGAGTAGAGTAGAGCAATTTTATTCAGATCTCCCGGGGCTATTGATAACAGGCRATAATAAGAGGACGTCAAGATGAGAAATCCTACACCGAAAAATCACTTGGCCGTGAAAGGGCAAACTCTTGGGCTTAGGCGGTAGTCCCTCCTTTCGCGCGCTCCTAGCCCCCAGGATTTCGTGCGGCCATTTTTTTCTTGCAAATTTCTTTCGCGTCACGCACAACGGACTAGGCGAAAGAGGGACTACTCGTAGTCTATTGAGCTCTCCACTGGATAGCAAGCATTGAATTGATTTTTGTGTTTCCCAGATGGAACTGTACTTATCATTGATGGCAATCATATGAATGTATGTGTGGTAAATGTTTTCCGTAAGTTCTGTTCACCACTGATGTTTGCCTGTGTCATCATGCTGAGTCTTATTACCAAGGGAAAGGTGACTGTAGTTGGTAGCTGTTAGGCTACAAGGGCAGTTTTCAAGAAAATTTCCAGATCAGCCAAAAATATGGTTTATCAGGAGCTCATCCACAGAAAGACCCTTTGTCCTCTGTTTGTCCTCTGGTTCCAGAACAAGAGTGTTTGGGGCGGGGGGAGAGAGGAAATCTGGAGATCCCAAAGAAAAACCCTCAGATCAAAAATGATAATCAACAAAACTAAACCCACATAAGACTGGATCACGTATCTGAAACTAGCTAGGTCACACTGGTAGGAGGCAAGTACTTTGACCACTGCAGTATCAATCCTCCCTACTATGAAGAGGGTTTAGCCCATAACCTTGATTTCTTGGTGCTGCTATTGCCAAATAATTTCAATACCGACACCATAACACAGTAGCTGATCAACAAAGGTTGTGAAGCAAATGTTTAGCTCTCTCTGTATTGCCCCTTGCTGTCCCTTGATGGGGAAGTTTGTGGTACATTGCACCAACACCTGTGAGCAGACTAATAGCTTTTATCTTACTAGACTGATAAGGGTTTTGATGTGTTGGTAGGGGTTCACACATATCTTGTGGTTGATTTCCAACCTGTTTATATAAGCTATGTTGCGATTTCTTTACTTAAGTTATCATGGACCACTGACTGCAAGATAAAAGTAACTATTACATATGAAGTGTGGGTATCTGCGTGATAAAGCCATGAGTAAAATTTGATGCAATATGATATCCTGGGGAAAGATACAATGTCACTTCCCAGATTGTATTTCCAGTGAAATATATTTCTTTATAAATTGCTTAGACAAATCAAGTTGCACATTTTCTTTTATTTTGACCCCAACTCTGATGTGAGTACTCACTTTCTAGTGTTTTGAATGCCTCTTGCCTGGGCAAGAGCTTAGGCAATTTTTTTTTGGAAATATATGAGATCTAGGGAGATTTTTATGGTACAATTACAGAAACCAGGTCCTGCAATACTGGATGTTGTGTAATTTTGCTATCACCTCGAAAATTCTGATCAGCACACATAATGCAATATTTTTCAGATGGCCACCAGGGATTTCTACACGTCACATAAATTTTCGAAGTGACAATCATGGTATCAAGGGAATAAAAATATTTCACTTTTTCATGATCTCAGCACTTGCCTAGGAAATGTCTGGTTCCAGTGTCAGGAATGATGGAAGCAGTAGTTTAGAGGTTTTCATTTTGTTTGTGGTGCTGTCACCTGCTCTCAATGTGGAAAAAATATCCTGCCTGGCATCTTTAAGAGAGATCTGCCACTATAAATTTACTATTATACCCTGGGTATGAAGCTTGAAATTTTGATTGATCTAACTGATTACCTTACATCAGGACGCCTGCATACACCTGGGCGCACATTTATGTCAATTCTGGAAAATTCATCCTTGTCCAATATACTGACATAATTTATGCATCACATTGTTCTTTTTTATTGTTTTGTATTGTTCTAGGATTTTATTGTTATGTCAAAACACCCACAATGCTATGGTTAGTTAAGTAAGTGTGAGTGTTGGTCACAGCCTGTATTGCCAGTCTCCTTGGTTTCTCAGATGCTGGAGATTTTTTCAAGAGCATGACCATCACTAACAATTGAATCAGTGAACAGATTGCTTTCTTCCAATTTTGGATTATTATCGTGCTGTTTTCCATGGATGTGGTAAAGAGAATGAAGAAGCCGTGGAATGCCTACAAAGACGAGGTGGTAGAATAGTCTTGAATACTGCCCATTTGTCCACCGAACAGATGGTTACAAGTCTGTTGGAACACTCTTACAAGAAGAAGAGAAAACCAAATTGTTAAACTGGTTGAAAAGTGTCTCAAGGGAACAGCCCCAAGTTATTTTGCCAAATATTTTCAACTTAGAAGACATAATATTGATGATTATGATATTAGGAATAAGAACAAATTGGTTATTGTTAGGGTAAAATTAGAATTGACTAAAAGAGCGTTTTTTTTTTTATAAAGGGGCGGATATTTTTAATAATTATATATGAATTTAGTTCCAGTCTTTTTTTCTCTTTTTTTATGTATGTTTTTAGATTTTTGCATGTTTTATATTTTATTTTATTAATTATTCGTTGATTTATTTTACGCGGAACCCGCATAAAAGAACAAGTGGATTAAGAACGCTCAGGCTGAAATTTGGTCAAAAAGGTACCATATACATAAGAACACATTCAGCCTGAAAGATGAAATTGTTCTTACATAAAACAAAATTGGCTGCCAGTTAGATTAGAATAACCTACTATGGTACAGTACTAAGTATAGCACTAAGTAGATCAATATATGAGCTATTCGTTAATTAATTAAAATGTTGCGCTTGCACATTGATTTCATCTGTTGGTAGTCTATGCAGTATTTAAGAACACCTTAAGAACATTTTCAGGCTAATTTTGCAGAAAACACCTGATATATAAGAACAAAATCAGCCTGAAACCNTGAAAAGTGTCTCAAGGGAACAGCCCCAAGTTATTTTGCCAAATATTTTCAACTTAGAAGACATAATATTCATGATTATGATATTAGGAATAAGAACAAATTGGTTATTGTTAGGGTAAAATTAGAATCGACTAAAAGAGCATTTTTTTTTTTTTTTATAAAGGGGCGGATATTTTTAATAATTGTATATGAATTTAGTTCCAGTCTTTTTATCTCTTTTTATATGTATAGTTTTAGATTTTTGCATATTTTATATTTTATTTTACTAATTATTCATTTATTTATTTTACGTGGAACCTGCATAAAAGAGCAAGTGGATTAAGAACGCTCAGGCTGAAATTTGGTCAAAAAGGTACCATATACATAAGAACACATTCAGCCTGAAAGATGAAAATTGTTCTTATATAAAACAAAATTGGCTGCCAGTTAGATTAGAATAACCTACTATGGTACAGTACTAAGTACAGCACTAAGTAGATCAATATACGAGCTATCCATTAATTAATTAAAATGTTGTGCTTGCACATTGATTTCATCTGTCGGTAGTCTATGCAGTATTTAAGAACACCTTAAGAACATTTTCAGGCTAATTTTGCAGAAAACACCTGATATACAAGAACAAAATCAGCCTGAAACCGCAAAACACGTGTTCTTTTATGCGGGTTTTTACTGTAACTGAAATGTTCATCCTGCATAAATATGTTTATTATTCTTATTGTTCTGCCCGAGTATTATATCCAAGTCGCCAAAGGTATGGAAAGAGCTCAAAAAACTGCACTCCCCCTATACGTTTTGTAGCTTGGGTTGTAACCCTCACAAAAAGGAAAAGATCGTCCATGCAGGTTTATCATGATGTCTTTTTGTCCGACGGGGAAACTCTGGCATTGTTTCTCGGTCTTTCTCACAAATTCCAGCTTGGCACCAGCCTTTGAAACCAAACTCCGCCCTTTCGTTTCTTACTATTCTTATCCAGGTCTCCTTTAGTCTGCCCCTCTGACATTTGCCTTCAAGGGTTGGTCATGTACATTAATTGGTAACGGCCTTCGTGTCGTCAATTCTGTCTGTAATCACTCATAATTAAACAAATTTGTCAATCAATCGTAGGATTACAGACCAAATTGGACTCCACTCAGCCCTTTCACCATTACTGATAGATAAACGGGCGAAAAAATACATAGTTGACTTTTTTATTGCTAATGAAAAAAAAGGCATATATAGCTATGGCTCTAATTCTATTCGCGTTTCTGTAACAAAGCCTGTTAATGCTTG